CAGGGAAGGGCAGCAGTCCCCAGAGCAGTGGCAAAAAATGTATGGTAGATGTTCAGGAAATGAGGTCTATCATATAAAGATGGAGGACAGCATCTTCTTTGCAGAGTATGAAGGGAAAAGCTTCACTTATGCTTCATTCCACACACATAAAAAGTAGGTATAGCATTGTGAAATGTTATGGAAGCCATGAATCATGTATTTTAAAATCTTGTACACTTCCCACATAACAAATTAGTTAAAAAATAGTTGCCTCTTTCTAGAAAATGTGGGAAAGCTGGTTGAAAGTTAAGGCCTCAGATCCATACTGTGTTCATTTATTGATCCAATGAATTCTCCTTTACTTCTAAATTGTATCATAATATGCAATACATCTTATAGTTCTCACTTATTTAATGGGTAACATCCATGTACTTTATGATTCGAAAAAGTTCAAATACCAGAACCAGAGTTTGTCTTTGTCATTCCCCTGTCTAATTGTCTTCCTTCCTTCCATTTTGTTCCAATCCTTAATATGTTTCTTGTATTATTGGACATGAACGTTCTTATGTCATACATGATGTTTTTAATTATTGTTTAATAATCTTTGAATATCTTTATGTGATTTATGTTCTGGAATATTGCTTTAATATCAGTGGCTGAGCAACTTCTAAATGTTTGATTTACATATGTGTCCAAATATATATAATGACATACATGATTTTGCTGTATTTAAAAAAAATCTAATGAGTTATAATAAATACATAACTGAGCTAAACAGTGTTTGTATACCTTTTTGGAATTCAACTTTAAAGGAGAACTAAGAAGTGAGTGATTTACAGTCATCCTCATAGTTAGAGCCGACATGTGACATTGAAACTGTCACACGTTGGCTCTATTGATTGGGAAGTGACACATACTGTCGCTAATGTGACACGAACACATACTGTCGCTCGCTCACTTCCTGATCATCTCCCTGCAGAGAGTGGTGACTGTCAGTCACCACTCCCAGCAAGGATTCCCCTCACCCCTCACCAATCCTCCATCACTGACTGGAGGAATGGATGGGGAGGGAGCGGGCACTGATGGCTCTGCCTCTAGATAGACAGAGCCCGCTGCCAATCAGCTAGCTGGGTGGATCTCAACAGTATTGTCAGGATTTGTCCAAGGCTGCGGCGCTCTCAGTATATAGCTCACTATAGCTCGCTATATACTGAGCTTTCGGTCATGGGAGGAGGTTAGTATATGTCGTCCCATGACTCTAAAGAGAACTTTGGGATAAAAATGTTACCCCATAGTTCTCTTTTACGGGTAGTTTGTCAATTACATCTTCAAAGTGAAACTAAACTCAGAAGTTAAATCTTAAAAATGCATTCAAGTAGGCTAACTATTAAAAATAATGCACCGATGTGCATCACTTGGCTATAGATCATCTTTGAATTCATGCTGACATTGTCATTCCTTCCTTCTGGAGGTGGCTACTTTTGTACCCCATGGTCCCTGTGTATGTTGAAAAGTAGCCACCAGCCCAAGCCCACTCCCATGATAGGCTATAATGTCAATACAAATTCGTAAACTAAAAGTGAGATTGCAGTCCATCACAGGAGCGAACTTGGAAGGGGGCCACTTTTCACCATACACAGGGACTATGGGGAACAAACATAGCCACCCTCCAGAAGGAAGGACAGTGTCAGCATGAATTCATGATTTGGGGATCTACAGCTAAGTGATGCCCAAATAAGCTACATTTGTGTTAATAGTTAAGGTACTTGAATACATGTTTAAGATTTAACTCCTAAGTTTAGTGTCACTTTAATTTGCCTTGAAACACTCTAGCTGGTAAGGCTAGTTGTAGTTCTGGTTCAGTGGGACTGATATGACTTTCTTGCAATCAATATACAGAACAGTTTTAACATCACAGAATCACTTATAGATATTTTCCCATCATCTTTGTTGTAAATACTAGAGATGCTTTATCTTTTTCTACTGGGAAGCTGGCTGTTACATTACCTGATTTTTACCCAATATACTTGAAAGAGCTGCATTTCAAGACAAATCATCACCTTAAAAAGCCTGCTGAAGTTTACTATAGTTCTCATGACTGGGAATACATTCTATTCAAATCAAGATGAATGTAGAATAGAACTAGATCTCAGGACTATCTGAGCTTGGAGGTTAGTGTGGAGCATTGTCACTTCTGTGCTATGTAATGGAATTCATAAAGCTCCTGTACGATTACCATGTCAAAGCCTTTTCATCTCACAGCTTCTCTGCTGCCCTCTTTATCTTTTAGATTTGGTGTCTGCCTTACCGGTGTTAGAAGAGAGGATAACAAAAACATCTTGCTAAACCCAGGGCCACGATACATCATGAGTTCTACTGACACCTGCTTTTACATCCATGTGACCAAAGAAGAGAATTCTGCTTTTAAACATCATGAACAGTTGGAAAAATTGCGCAGACACAAGTCATCCTATCATGGCCCATCCAGACTACCAGTCCACAGTATAATTGCCAGCATGGGTTTGTATGATTACATGTTCTTTCAAGTGATAATACCATCCCATAAAAAAAAAAATCATACCCCTGACAAACCATTAATTCTATAAAAGAAGAAGATAAAATTTAATTTATGTATGATTCACTTTTGTTTATTTGTATTGTAAACAACCATTGTATCTAATATATCTGCATGGATTACTCTGTATATCTAATATCTAAATAAGTGTTTCCAGGAACTGCTACTAAGGGAATGTCACTGAGTTTACCAAAACTCTATGTATGCCTGCATGATAATGGATAATGATTATGAGGCCTCCTTTCTAAGCTGAAATCTGTTACTATTTTCCTGAACTTAGCATTTAAAACTTGGGGGGTTATTCACAAAGGAGCCAAAGGATCCAGTCATAGCTTCGGCTGATTCTGCGGCCACTGGAGCCCTTCGGTTCAGTTGAACCAAAGGGCTGCTGTATAGGCTGTTCACTACAGCCCTACAGCAGTTGAAGGCGGCCAAGCAGCTCAGCCAAGCTGAAGGCATTTGTTTCGGCTCGACTAAGCCGAAGTGTCAGCCGAAGTGGGGCAAATGGGCTGCCTAAGGCAGGCCTTTCGCCCTGCAAATGACAGCTGGGCCAAGCCCTGACCAGTTGTAATGACAGATTAGCGTCCCTGGGGACGCTGAACTGTCATTAAACAATAACAACTGGGCGGAGGCGGCCGTTATATCACGGCCGGCTCCGCCCAGTTGTTATTCATTGGCCGGGACCTGCTAGAAGACTCTAGCAGGTGCCGGCCAATAGGAAATGGTTGGACAGAGCTAGCTGTCACTTATAGCCCCGCCCATTTTTATATTTAATATTTATTTAAATTTTTTAGAATATTTTTTCAACTTTTTTTTCAACTTTTTTTACTATTAGCAATTCTGATTGGTACCACTGCTATACGGCTCAGTTATTCACTTGGCTGCCTTTGGCAGCTTTGTGAATAACCCCTTTGGTCTTTGCATAATCTTCCTGTACCCTTGGCCTGCAGTACTGGTGTAACCCATAGTTTAATTTGATTTAACTTAATTACTAATATATCATTTTTTTATGTTAGTGAAATTTCAAAAGTAATTTGAAATCTTTAAAAAATCTCCAGCTTTTAATAAATGAATACATAGTAATCCTGTCTTGAAGGCCTTGTTTAGGCATGGGAAAACAATTCTCTGCCCCCCTCTCCCAATTGCAGTTTTGTGTGGTGACCTTGTCATGTGCACTTCTTGTAAGGACTATAAGAACCTGTGCCAAGTCTCATTGTACAGGCTTTTCCCCTAGGTGTTAGTGTGGAAAACCCATTCCCCTCACTCAAGTGAATATGTTCAGCTGCTGCTGGAGTGAGAATGCAGACAGGAGGTGGCAGCCAAGAGTTCTCTCCTGAAGCCTGCACTGCATAACGCCACTGTAATGAACAAGCATTGCCCACTGAATTTTCTTTGGAAATGATTAATCCCTGGAGTATCAGTCTCCTGTGTCCCCTCTACACTTAGCAGGTCCTCCCACTGACCCCATGTCACTACTGTGCCTTGCAGTGATGTAGGGGTCAACAGGAAGAACCATTGAGCAACATAAGGGAACACAGGAAATGAACACACAATAGGTATTGGCTTCTGGAGAGTCTCCAATCTGCAATAAAAAATTGGGATTGCAGTCCCCTGATACAGCGCTACCACGAGGGTGAGGGTGATTGGGTATGGGTTTTTTTTGCGCTAGATGTGCAGCTTCTAGGAATGCGGACCGGGGTCCCCCAACGTTTGTCAAGGAGAACAAAAAATGGGGATAGAAGCGGTACTTGCAAAGTTTGAAAAACTTACCAAAAAGTGATGGCTGATGCGATATCATCGACGAGGGGTGAATAGATGGGGAACCTCCACTGGTGGGGATTACGACCCATCAGTTGTGTTTGTGGGAAGGTCAGGGGGAATTGAGGGTTTGGGGGGTGCTGGATGGTGGTGGGAGCCTGGGTCCGATTAGTGCATGGGAGGGGGGTGACAGGCACGGGTGGACATGGGCTATTGGATGATGTTGGGACTGAGGGGGGTAAGGTGCAGCTGGTGTGCACTGTGTAGCTGCTTGAGAATGATGGGTCTGGCGACTGGACCCACACTGACCTGACACTTCCAGTCGCTTTTTGGTAAGTTTTTCAAACTTTGCATAAATCCAATTCCTTATGGTAGTAGCACTTTTATCACCATTTTTTGTTCTCCAATCTGCAATAACTTTTCAACAGTACAGCAGTATTTGGTGGCACAAGAGGTAAGTATTTGCTATATTCTTTACAGGTAATATGTTTATTTCCCCTTGTGTTTTTAGTGACACATCGCTTTAAAACTAATTTAATAAAATATACAGAGCAGCTCAAAACATGTCAATTAAAATAGCAGTTTTAGTCACTTATAACACATTTAATACATACAAGTCACAATTTTTTGGTTAGTTTTGATTGCTTTTTTGTACACAAACAGACAAACAGTTTTAAAATATTTTAAAATAAAAAAATGACACATAACCAATATAGTTTCCCTTTAATCAAAAATATGTACCACTATGTTAGATAAGAATAAGATTTTATTAAACTTCTGTTCCAACAAAGTGGTAAATATTTTTGATTAAAGGGAAATTATATTGGTTATGTCTCATGTTTTTGTTTTTTTAAATATTTTAAAACTGTTTGTTTAAATCTGTTTTCATCTCTGTTTAAAAAATTTTTTACAACTAAATATTCAATACATGACAAAGGAGTCATCTGATAAGGGTTGAGTCACTGGAATGAGGCACTACTGATTGATTGGGATAGATTTACTTTTGGAGCAGAGAATGTTCACTTTGCAAAGTAAATGTTCACTATACAAAGTTATTTCTCTGCCATCTCCCCCCCCCCCTCCACCCAATGAAGCCTGCACCAAGTATTTTTAAACCCCTATACATACCTTTTTTCTTGACGTTTTCTGACTGGTCCAGTGACGTCACCACAGCTTCTTCTCCTTCCAGTGGCAGCAGGGGATGAGCATTCTTCCACGACATTATGATGTGGGAGTGCCGCTCAGTCCTGGAGAACTTTGAGTCCAGCCTATGTTATGATACACCCCTCTAGGGAGGCATAAAAATAACAGTCTGGACTCACAGAAATGTTTTTATTTTTATACATGATTTATATAGTGCCAACAGTTTGTGCAGCGATTTACAAAACAAAATTGTCACTTTTCCCTGAAGAGGACTGCTGGCACAGGATCGACGAGGAAGTCAAGGACAGTACTGGAGTGTGGAGAAAAGAAAATTAAGCTGGCATTCTACCTTTACTTAGTTGAGTACATACTGTATGATGAAGCTATGTTCAATTTAAACACCCAATCATGTGCCAGGGAATTATAATAAAAAATGATTTTTTTTCTCATACATGATTGGATAACTGAATTAAAAATAGCTTCACTTTATTTTCTGAGCTAACTGAACATTCTCTTTATGTTACGTTTCAGTCAGAAGCATAATAAAAAAGCTTTAATGTACAAATTAACAATATATTCCCTTTAAGATTATCTTTTCTGTGCTTGTCCATCAAGCTAAACTCAATATGTTTCCCGAATATGAATCAGTGTAATTGTATCAAATCATTTTTAACAGTGAACACAGATTTCTGCTAAAAGATAATGGGAGATAGAGCATTACTCATCACATGTGCATACTGTGTAGAGTGGTAAATGACTGACTCTTTTGATACTTACTCCAATGCAAAGTACTGTATATTGAAGGCACTATCCAAAGAGTATTCATGTTGGTTTTAGAAATGTTGCTGTGAATATGAAAACACCGCCAAACAAGTTAGATGTTACAAATGTTGACCAATGATGAAATAATTTGTTTATACTGTATATAGTTATCGTAAGTAATAGGTAGCAAGTAATGATAAGTTGTAAACATAAATTGCATATATACTTTGTAAGGATGTTGTAATTTTTGTCTGTAGGCACCGTAGCGATAGATCTACAGGAAACAACCTGTTATTCCACTAGTGGGCCAGGCCTTACTCTTCCATCTGAAATTAGTAGAAAAGAGAGAAGACCCAGTATTGCCCCTGTACTAGAACTTGCTGACAATGCATCCATACAGCCATGTGATCTTCTAAGTGACCAATCAGAAGATGAAGCCAACCCTTCCGATGATGAATGTTCTGAGGCCAAGGAGTATGTATATTGGATGATTTTAAATGCAGTTTTGGTTGTTTGTTTTAGTCAACATATACACAATAGAAGATATGATATTTCTGTTCTGTGTATTTGTATAATACATAACTTTTTATATGAAATACCCAGGATTATTTACATTTTACAAATGTGTAATTTTATAATGAGGGTGGTTCTGTCCCTACTATACTTTACCATCTGGCCTGTTTGCAGCTTGGCATACAGCTAAACCCTTTTATCTTCCATTCGGCCTCACTTTATGAAAACATGAAAAAGTTTATTGGATAACAGGGTGAAGTGAAACTGGTGGGAAAAAGCAGAGAAATATACAGAGCACGTATTATTTACAGCAGAGGTAAACCTCAGAAACAAATGAACCTCCTTTGACACAGAAGGCAACCTCCAAAATGCATTGCCTAGCAATTCTTCCCATCCCATAACCCAAAAGTATCTAGTAGCACTATCCCCCTGCAGAGAGGACAAGGTGGTGGCACTGCCTTTTTACTTCTTCAGCTGACATTCCCACAGCAGATATCTACCCTCCGCCACCTGTCTTTCACATCCAGCTATATCGCTGATGATGGTTGGATGAGCTGTAAACACAGGAACCTTTTTGCTATGTGACACACATGCCCTTTTATATCTCTATATATGTAAGTGCATTACTTTTATTCTTATTGCAAAGTTACTTCTTAGATCTGTGTGCTTGTTTTTTTGTCTGTTCCACATGTGGTGTTACAAAACAGTAAAACCCAGACTTGAAATCTGACTTTTGAAGCTACATGGCAAAATGGTACAATGGCAACATTCCTCCTTTTTCAATTCTGTAGATCTTTTTTATATTGGCTGTGTTCAGTTGGGTCAATTTCTATTATGAGTTAGAAAAGGGTTTAGATTTTCCATGGTGATTAGATAGTGAATTTGATATCATGGTTCAATCATTTCAAATTGATTTTTCTTATAAAAAGATGCTGCCTTGTGTCTATGGTAATCTTATCTTTAGTGGTTTAATAGGGTTAGGGATAGGGTTAGGGTTATGTAAGCATGTTGTTAAAGTTAGTTATTTTTGCATTCATGACTCTATTCTCCAATTTTTGTTTCTACTTAAGACCCATCTTTTATTTTGATTGCTGAAAAAAAAGCCCTGTGAGCACTTTCTATATGAAACAATATTTAGGGTCCCCCCAAAGTACTCCAGAACTGAGCGGCACTCCCACATCTAGTCCCCTTTGAGCCTTTCAAAATGCAGACTAGAGTAAGAATTAGGGATGTTCAGATACTAAGTACTGTATTTGGTACAAGTACAAGTGCAGATACTTTTCCAGCTCCAAGACTAGACTAGAGAAAAACTTAAAAGTTAGAAGCCAGCTGTCATTTTTAAGGACTGTACGGGGCTCCTGGGATTTGTGCATCCCTGTTTTAATGTATGATTTGTTTTTTATATTTATATGTTAGGGATGCACCAATACCATTTTTCCAGAACAAGTCCTCACAGATACAATTACTGATACATTTTTGTTTAGTGTCATGTGACAGTTTTTCTAAAACAATACAGACTAACGATTTCAGGACAACGGAGCAGCGCCAGAGCCCAGTCACAGCTGCAACTGCTGCAACACTGGTAGTTCTCATGAAACTGCTAAGTTTTGGCACTGGTATCTGAACATCCCTAGTAAGAATGCCAGTTAGAAAAACAACCCCTTGAAAACCAAACTGTGCTTCATCTCCATTGAGCCTTTTTGGTTGTCTTGGAAATGAAAAATGCACAGATGTACAGTCATTTTACACACATGAGAAATGCACTGTTACTATTTTTTTTTTACTATACAGTACATGTACAACAACATTGAGTAAAAAGATAGCTGGTAAATGAATTTAAATCATAAATAAATTTAGGTGTCTGCTAAAGCAAATTGAGTGCATTAAGGAGTGTTTACAGCTATTTTACAGTGCAGAGCCATTACATAAATGCCAAGGACCTACAATTGTAAATACATTTTGCATGCTTATTTATAGGCCAAGTAACAGACACAAAATTTAAATAACATACGTGTGTTTGCTATCCCTGCAATCAGGACAAACACAATGGGGGTTATTCACAAAGTTTCAGCTGATCCTTTGGCTAGCTTCGGCCCCAGGACCCCTTCGGTTCAGTAGAACCGGAGGGCTGCTGTATGGGCTATTCACTATAGCCCGTATAGCTCCCGAAGTTGGTCGAGGGGCTCAGTCGAGCCGAAGGCATATGCCTTCGGCTCGACTGAACCCAGGGGAAATTGGCGAAGCTGGCAGAATGGCCGGCCAATGGCTGGCTGACAGCCTGCTACTGACAGCTGGGCAGAGACAGTCGTCATCTCACGGCTGGCCCCGGCCACTTGCAGATTTAGATAATCATCCCTGGCTACCAGCTAACCAGGGACGCCCATCTGTCATTACACTGAGAACCCGGCGGAGCAGCTGTAAAATCACTGCGGCTCAGACGGGTTCTCAGTGTGTAATGACAGATGGGCGTCCCGGGTTACCAGGTAACCAGGGATGCCCATCTGTCATTACGACGAGAGTTTAGGAGAGCTGGCAGTGATATGAAAGCCGACTCTGCTAAGCTCTCATCTTAATGACAAAAAAAATAACCCTGTGCAATTGCGCTGAGAGGAAGTCCCCCTAACCCGGTCAGCTGCAACAATGTTTTGGTTTCAAAACCTAAGTGATACAAGTTGCAAGTGTGTTGCGCTAGGTCTACAAAAAACAGTGATCTAACTAATTGATGATCTATATGAACACAAAAAGTCCTAACTGCAACAAATGTCCGTGAAGACCAAATAGCTCTGTGTGGTAATTGATGCTAATAAATACTAATAACATGAAAAAACAGATAAAAACGATGCAGTGAGTTTCAATAAACAAAGGTGGTAGAAGTGTCCATAATTAGACTAACATGATAACAGAATCCTTTACCCAGAGCAAGGGGATATAAGTCATGTCTAGAAGAAGTTTCCAAAACACTCCGTGTGAGATCTCTGTGTTGGTCTGCAGTGGTATCTTTCCATACATCATTGTTTTCGCTGACACCTAGGGAAGAGGTTTACTTGCAGCAGAGCAAGAGGAGATTGGAGACAGAAGGTAGAGGAGACATTCCTTTTTGAAAGGGTGGAGGTCTGCTTATAAGAAAGTAAAAAAAAATTAAATCACCAGCACACACTTGAAGGGTTTTTAAATGTCGCTCTGATGAAGGATCCCTGTGTGGACCCGAAACGTTAGCACCGTATGACAGTATGTGACATTGGGTATTGCATAAACATATCAATACGTTAAAAACCCTTCAAGTGTGTGCTGGTAATTTACTTTTATTTACTATTAGTGTTTTGCACAGCGCCATGTGGTTACCTGGGCACCACATATACCTTGTGGTATTGAGACCGTGGCAGTGCGAATGGGATTTGGACTTTGTTGCTTACAAGAAAGGACATTAAAACAGAGTGTGTTTCCAGGGGGTTAAAGGCTGTATTTATTTTCATTGTTGCTCTTTAGTCTACTTTAAAAGCCCCTCTCCCTGCTGCACAGTTTTTAGTTATTTATGTATTTATTGTATGTATATTATATTATTTTTGCATTGGTACATGTCCCCTATGGCAGTGCCAAGCTTCCCAAGCTTTTTCTAACAAAATATTGCAAATTAGACTTGAAAAAGGCCAGAAAACATTTACAAGATTCAGATCCTTTACATTTTTATAGGGTTTGGCACTATGTTAAATGTATGTGGACTCCCCGCTGGGTTTGCTGAACCTCTTGTGAATCAAACTTTGTCCAGTTCACTCATCCCTAGTATAATCCAGGGTGACTCTGGATTCACATGTGTCAGTGAACTAATTTCTATTTGTAATAGGAGTCCACCCTTCTGAGTAGTATAGTTCAAATCTGTTTATCCTAAAACAGGATGGCTACTATCCCAAAGACTAAATGCTACCTTCACTCCAAAACAACTATTTGCCACAGCTTAGACTCTGTTGGTGGTCATATGATGCCTATTCCCAGCAAAAGTAGCCGTTTTTCATGATGTGTGATTGGAAATGTCATTGCCTCTGCAGTTTTTTTTTTCATCAGGAAGCTTAAATTATGTCTCTGCTGTCCATATTCCTCTAAAGAAACTTTTGCAAACACTGATGGTATATTAGGAAGAAATTTAGGACATATTAATAGAAATGATAGCAGCGGGAGGGCTTTGCACTCTGTTGTTCAAATTGCAAAACCCCTGTGCCTGTGGTATTACTTTGAATTAGAGGCATTTTACCTCTTTCTGCACAATCCAAAGTTTAAGAGAATTTTTCCAAACTAAGAGACTCCACAGTGTAGTGATGTCCATTAAGTGCGGATGGCTAATATAAAATCCTTTCCAGATATTACAGGAACATATCATTGAAGAAGTAAAAGCCACATGCATTTGTGCCTTTTCTGAAAAGCGTATTTAGGGTTGTTAGGAACTGAACAAGTTTTTTGACATGGAATATTCTAGTTCAAACTCTTAGTACTGTACAGTAAAAATTATCTAAAACCCTCACATTTTTATTAGTTTTTTTGTTAATTATATATGTCAAGGTTTTCATTCTTGTTATTACATTTCAATATGCACCATATCATCATGCACCAACAAAAACAATATATATTTTTGGCAATAGAGGGTGTCACATACTAAATGGCATGTATGGTGATAGGAAAAGTGACACAAACATTTAAAGGGGAAACTGAATCCTTTTCCTGTGGGCTACAGGTTGGGCCCCAGGGTATTAGATCACCTGTTGCTACAGCTTTAGAATGTCATGTAATGCTGCTCCCTGAGATTTTACTTTGCTGAGGGAATCAGAACATTAAACTGGATCTGGGATTGTCATAGTCTCTTTGGTTTTACCACGTAAAGAATCACTGATCAGGAACAGGTATGCAGGATAGGAATTCCTGCTTTTCAGACATCACTGACTACATGCTTGTTGCAGGCCATTTATTCACATTGTATTGCATTCATGACATTTCTGGGGCCTGCACCTTAAATTTAACCAGCAATTATATTTTCTGTTTTTCGTATTCATGGGTTTGTTTTAGAATAGTTGGAATGATAAAATAATTTCTACTGATATTTCTGAGTTGTAGAGTATGGAAAATTATTTCAGTGCACAAATAGAAGCTAATAGATGAATGTTAGAGTAGCAGCATTAGTACAAATTTCCTAGCTTATTGTAGTGCTATGTAATTGGTGGGATTTTAAATATATGGTCACATGGTAAGAGTAAGGAATAAATATGATGATACAAAAAAGGTGGTAAATGAAGTTATGTCAATATGTCATAAACTGACATAAAACAGAAATTAAAAAGAATTATAAGTGGAGATACGTTCATCTACTCTGATGCAGGGAATCTATTGGCAATCACAAATAATGACCATCTGCTTTTGATGACCTTGTTGGTTGTGGTCATCAGATGTCTTCCAATAATCATTGGCATGCATGGAGACACCCAAACTAAGATGCATCATCACTACTATATATTGACTATGTAGTAGGGATGATGCACAATAATACTTTGGGCAGGGGTGGGCGAAATCCGGGCCTCCAACTGTGGTGAAACTTCAGATCTCATCATGCATCTGCCTCTGGGAGTCATGGCTGTGGCTGTCATAGTCTTTCAATACCTCCAGGGATTTGTAGTTGCACCACAGGTGAAGGGCCAGAGTTTGCCCACCGCTGACTTTGGGTGTCTACAAATGTTGAGTGTAGAGAGATACCTGATGACCACAGCCAACAGGGTAATCAGAAACCTCCTTCAACAGAGTCTGGGTGGTTGCCTGTGGATTCCTTGCATTGGTGTAGAGTAAGGATTAGCCACTATTGACTATTCTAAGTTGAACAGTTATGTGACTTGCTGCCTATGTTCAAAGCAGGCACAAACCTCTTTTCTAAAATAAAGGTGAAGTGATACCTCCACAACAGGGCCTCACTAACACCTGTTGGAGGCTATGCACTTTCCTGTCCAATAATCAAGTTTTAATGAAGCCTTTTGCATCACTGAAGGCCTGTGTACATGAAATGAAATGATACACTTAGCACACATTAAGAAACTCTGTTCTAAGTAAATGTTTCAATAATGAAACCATTTGACTTACAATATAATGTATTCATAGCATAAAAAGATAATAATGGTGTTATGTGTGTGACTGTAATACTTTTTATTTCAGGTATTCCAAAGGATACCCTCCTAATTCACCATATATAGGAAGCTCACCTACCTTTTGTCACCTATTACAAGAAAAGGTGCCATTTTGCTGTCTTCGATTAGATAAGGTAATAGTACTTCACATGCATACCTGTGTTTCATAAACATTTTTTCAAAAATAGTGAATAATCATAGTAATAATATATGCTAGCCTTTATTCCATCCTTTCTTAACCATTTTGTTTTAGGGTTGTCAGCATAACTATTACGAAGATGCAAAAGCCTATGGTTTCAAGAATAAAGTCATCATTGTTGCAGCTGAAACTGCAGGAAATGGACTGTATAATTTCATTGTTCCACTCAGAGCTTATTACAGACCTAAGAAGGAGCTTAACCCCATCATACTGCTGCTGGATAATCCGTAAGTGTCATGAAAAGGAAATGTGTTATTTGTAATGTCAAATACTATTATTTTTAGAAAGGAAGAAATTGTAACCATCAAAGTGTCATACATTTAAAGAGAATCTCTTGTTTCATACTGATTAATGAAAACTATACTATATTGATATAATACAGTGATTTTTTTCAAGCTTTATTTTGGGTTATTTGGGTCACCTTTTTCTGTATATTTTGAGGGAGGGAATTCTTTGCATTTGTTGAATTTTTTTTCCAAAATCGTCGTATTAATATGGTTATATTCAAATTGGCAGCAGCATTTCACTCTTAGAAATTCAGCGCTGGCTAAACCATTGGGTAGAAGACACAGTTGCCCTAGCCTTCCAGATGAGAAAGGGTCACCCTAATCTCCCTTAAGATGTGACATTTACCATGGTTGCTTCAATTCTTGTTTGTGTGTTGTAATGTGTATGAAGGGTCTGGGCTATGGGTGTTGAATCACAATGATATTGCTATGAGGAAGATATGAGGTATCGTATGGGAGACATCATGGCTCCCAATCCATTGCAAGGAACAGACACAATATTATGACATGGATTATCACTGCAACTACCCTTCTTTGTCTACAATAAAAACACTGAGGCACATGTATAGGGAAGTATTTGTATAACTAAATGAGGAAACATTATAGAATAAGGAATTTGGGGGCTTGTGGTCCTCTTAAACAGCAGTTTTAGAAACAAGATCATCTAACATGATTGCTAAAAATGCCTAATATTTTAAGATATATTACATTTGTAAAAGAAAACAATAGTAATGGTAAAAAAGCTGTGGTGCTAAATGTGTTTTTGTACAGATTTGTCCACCCCTGGATTGGTTATAGGAATACAGTAACTGGAGCAGTGAGGGCATTTTTACATGTAGCTAGTCTTAATAGTAATGATCTCAGTATCATCTCAACATATTTATAAATTAAGTTAAAGTAGAGTTAGAGCCTCGTGCGCTGCATCAGGGGGGCTCCACCGGCAGGTCCAGAGCAGATCCAGCGAGGAAACAAATTAAAATAAGTCACCGCCGCCATGTCGGGCAATCCCTCCTGTCAGCTCTTCTCTCTCAGCCGCTCTGCAGCTACAGCGGCCGAGGAGGAGCAGAAGCAATTAGGCTACCTTCCTACTGGCCACTTCTATGATCGGGCTCCTCGGCGGCCACCTGCAGATTCCTCCTCCCACTTCAGCTGCCATAGGCATAGGTAGCTACAGTGGCCGAGGAGGAGCTGAATCAATTAGGCTGCCTTCATACTGGTCGCTTCTATGATCTGGATCCTCGGCGGCCAACTGCAGATTCCTCCTTCCAACATTGACCGGCTGTAGGGGAGCGGGTCCTGAAGTGAGGGGACAATAAGACGGCTGGAGGCATCACCTTAGAATATGGAGGCAACATCACTGTTCCCCACCGGCACCAGGAGAGGAAGAGGACAAAGCATGGGAATTAGATAAACTGTGTGCACTGTAAGCCTCTGTTTTTTCTGTGTCACATCGCTGACTTCTGCACTCTGCATCACACAACTGACCTCTGCACTCTGCGCCACACCGATGACCTTTGTGCTCTGCGTCAATCTGATGACCTCTGTGCTCCGCCTCACACCTCTGAACTCTGCGCTCTGCGTCACACAGCTGACCTCTGCACTCTGTGTCACAATGCTGACCTCTGGGCTCTGCATCACACCGCTGACCTCTGTGCTCTGCATCACACCAATGACCTCTGTGCTCTGTGTCACACAGCTGACCTCTGTGTTCTGCATCACATGGCTGATCTCTGCGCTCTGCGTCACACAACTGAACTCTTCACACTGTGCCACACCGCTGACCTCTGCACTTTGTGTCACACCACTGACCTCTGCACTCTGCGTCACACCACTGACCTCTGCACTCTGCGTCACACCGTGGACCTCTGCACTCTGCATCACACCGCTGACCTATGTGCTGTTCGCCCCACCTCTGTGCACTGCGTCACACCAATGACCTCGGTGCCCTGCATCATGATGAACTCTGTGCTCTGCATCACACCATTGACCTCTGTGCTCTGTGTCACACTGATGACCTCTGCATTACACCGCTGACCTCTGCACTCTGCATGACCCCACTGACCTCTGTGTTAAAATGCTGACCTCTGCACTCTGTGTTACACTACAGACCTCTGCACTATGCATTACACTGTTGACCTCTGTGTTACACTGCTGACCTCTGCACTCTGCGTTGCACTACTGACCTCTGTATTACTACTGACATCAGGCCGTCACCCCAGAGTATGATGCTTCATATTATTCTGTATAATGTATTGCTGCATAATGGACCTCCGTGGTAGATCAGTCTCTTTAGACCTGCTTCTGTGCTCTATTCTTTTGGTGCTGTGGTGCCCCTCCTCATCCACCATGGAGGTGAGGCTTGAAATCACTTCATTCATGTCTCTCCTCCATGACAGATTAGAAGGGGCAACACTGGAAAAATAGAAAAAAATAGAAGCAAGCCCAGAAGTGCCTCCTAAATTAACAAAGTAGCTCTGGAGAATGAGGTGATTTGAAGAGAGTCCTGAAGTGTGGGGCGGTAGTGGGGGGGAGGTGTTCAGCGTTGTTGGATGGAGAACTCCCCAGGTGACAGAATGTCTAGCTTCACCTCTGGTTAGAGCTACAGGTAGCATTTTTGGAAGATGATCACTTCCACCTCCTACACAAAATTCTTTGATAGGGTGAGAGAAATTCCAATTTTTTAAATAAACTAAGCTGAATAATCTTTTTTAATGGATGAGACAATTCCACACATAATCTTACCTGATCTGATATTAACATTCTTTTGTTGTCAAACAATTTATCAATGTAATTGAATAAATTGGTTGTGACAGTAAATTTGCTAGGACAGTTTGAAGTAGATAATTATTTAAGTCATCCATTAATTGGAACAATTTCTTCACAATTATTTAACTGACTGGAGAAGTAATCCAAATAATTTTGACCACAGCTACTGTAAATATCAGGACAATTGCTGGTGGCCTCAAACCTACAGTCTTCTGGCTTCTGCCCTTGCAGCTTAGCATATATAGTTTAAAAGCGCTACTCATACGTTCCAGAAGATCTTCCTCAGTAACTTCCCAGAGGTCACTAGTACTCTCCTCCTTTATTAGCACAAGCTATTTATATGCTAACCTGCTTTGATCATGTAACCATGTCTGTGATGAATGACTTGCCTCTTGGTAACCTCTGGTTTCTCTAAAGTATGCAGCATGGTAATAGATTATTTCTTTTTCAGAGAGCATTTTATAATCAACATTCTTGTTGCTTTTCACAAAGACTTTTGACACATACAGGGTTGCTGTAGAGCTGTGCATGTTCAATAAACATATTTTAGTAGAGGTGTAGAGTATGCTTGTTGCCTGTTCATCTATCAAGTAGATGTAAGGTTGATCAAGCATTGTTTGGGGTGGAAAAGGGAGTGCACCCTTTATTGATTTGCCTTGGGACTACCAGTGTGTGACCATACTGTAAGGGCACACTTTTCAGATGTGTAAGTATCTTATAGAAAATTAAACCCTGCAGTATAGTAAAAGTAAAGACATATTACACGCAACATGCCTCAAGCTCTGTGCAGATTTCTAGGAGAGGCAGTTAGCCAATTACAGAAATGCAGTCTAGAGACAGATTATTGTTGCGAAGGAAAGACATTTTATTTATTTCTGGCTAAAATATAAAATTATGCTTGCTTGCAAACTACAATGGAAGGATATATATTTTTAAGTTACATTACAAGCCACAAATGAAGCACTTATTTATGTATTGTGTTGATGTTCATGAAGCTAGAATTTCCACTTGGAGTTTCTATGCCATCCTATATAACTGAAGAATTTTGGATTGTACTTAGAAAAGCAGCTAATATGTGACAGTAACACTGGGTACAAGATATCACTGGGTACAAGATAACTTTTGGCACATTCCATTATTATTTCATGTCACAAACCATGACCAGTTAGCATTAGCCAATACACGTACAACAAGCCTAAAAGAAACACTGTTACCTTCCCCATTAAGGGCAGAGTAACAGTGTTTCTGCAAATGTCAACTATTGACCCTGTCATACTTACCTTACGTGTTCTCTCTTACAGATCTTTGCTTTCCCACAGCAAGCTGGCTGTATCTGTAACACGGTGGAGTAGTGGTGTAATTATCTTGGTCATTTAACAGTGCTCAGGCCTAGTGATTAGCTGCTAGGACCAAGTACCATCACAGGGTAGCAAATCACATGTGGTCTAATACCTGGAAGTACTGGGTTTTCTTGCTGGCTATGGAGGAGCAAGGAACTTCAAGGGAGTTTAGTTAAGGTAATCTGGCATAGGCAAGGCAAGACACTGTCTCTTAGAAATATACCTTTGTTTAAAATTGGGTTCACATCTTTGAAAATTCAAAACATTTTTCTTCTTTTTCTAATTTTGGAGAGAGTGGGAATCTGTGTCAGGGTTTTATTGCTCTCTGCACCCTTTTGAGGAGATGCACCCTTTTTATTTGTCCTGATAATTATTGGAAGTGGGGCAGAAAGTAAAGTGAAATATAAAATGTTATGGTTGTCAGCTGAAAAGGAGTAGAGGGCACTTGTTCCTATGGGCACACCTTTTTGATGACAATTCCCAAAGTTTTGATTTCTCCTTTAATTTTGGAAGACCTATACTCACTTTCTGTTATACCTTTAGAACAGGAAATTAAGGGAAATGTCCCAAATGGTGGGGCATGCATCAGTTCTATAGTTCTAACCCTTCCACAGTTGTCCCAAAACTGGAAAACGTTTTGGATGGTTCTCTACTTTAAATTACATAGGTCAATGGAGCAGGATCTATGTACAACCCATCTATCTCTCCCTCCCTCTCTTTATTTCTCCTTTGCTCTCCCCCTCTCTCTCTCTCTCTCCTCAAAATGTAACAAGGTGTCCTGCTTCAGGTGGAATAATGCTTTAAGGCTCCCCTGCTGTATCTGTGTGCTGGTCC